ATATCATAGTAAAACACTGACAGGCTTTTACTTGTAGTGGGAGTATTTTGACATTGTGTAAATTGTACTTTTACTGCAGTAGAGGACCTGAACATACTCACGTTGTCTGCAGCAGCGCTCTCCTTCGTTCCCGTCTGGCCCCCACTCAGCTCCGCTAGATCCGCACGGTCACCAAGGTCACTGCCGTACAGCAGCTCCTCCAGGGCCCGGTCGTCTGCAGACATCATGATTGTCCTGAGGAGGAAGAGGGGAAATAATCAGTCCACTTGGTAATCACAGCCGTCATTAGAGAACTAATAACACACACACTTAATGTCCCTATTAATAAACAACAACAACAACAACAACAACATTCAGACCCAACTGAAACTAGTGTGACAAGGCTGTTCTCTTTCTGTGAAATGTGTTTACTTATGTTTTTAAATATGTGGTGGCTATATACAGTAGCCTATGTAAGAAAGCTTTACAGTTGCATACCATACGAACTGTAGATGTTCACAACCACCAGACTGTCAACCATTTTGAAATGTAAAGACTCACCATTTGGCAACATTGAATTTAAATTAAACACATTCCACACATTTTTACATATTTATTACACTGGCTCACTCAATCTTCATTTTCAATGTATTACTAGTTTGAAGACTAAATAGTTTAGAGCAGAGGTGCCCAGTACGTCGACCGCGGTCGACCGGCAATGCTGGTAGATCGCGACGCGAGTCGTTCATAAAATAAAAAAATCCAGTTCCGTTAAAATAGACAAAACAGGTTTTGATCCCTCCTCCCTTGGCCCCCCTGCCACTTCATTCAGGAGTTTACTTTATTGTCTTCATTGTTAGTTTCCACATGCCTAAAACAACCTCAAGCTAAATCTAAAAGTTGATGGCTAAACAAGAGCGTTTGAGAAATGGTGCAAGGCATACAGTAATAGTCCGAATAGTCGATTAGTCGTTTCATTAATCGATAGATTAATCGATTATCAAATGAGTCGTTTGTTGCAGCCCTATTATCCCATGTATAAATAAAACGTGTTATTCAGCCCCTTGCAATTTGGGACTTTACTTTTGGTTGGTAGACCTCGGTGAGCTGGTCATTTCAAAAGTAGCTCACCAGCCAGAAAAGTGTGGGCACCCCTGGTTTAGTCTCTATAATTGTTTGACTGTCTCTCCATCTCTTCAACACAACAATATTACATGCATCAACAGTTGGAGAAACTAGTTTCTGAACATTCCTGAAATAAAAATACTTTTAAATCTTGATTTCTTAAATGATATGTTGTGCAAATAATGTTTATACTGATCTTTAATTTTAAACCTCAATGTACAGATCGGAAAGCTGTTTACTATTGCTTTTTAAGAAGTTTACATTAACACAGAAACAAAAAAGGAGGTATAAATGAATATTAGGATGGGGTCAACATATTCGGATCATTCCATAGGGGTATGAGTGCTGTTACCTAATATAAAGATTATTTATATTTCACCAATCTTGAATTCATTAGTGGTAAAGATGTGTGGAGATATTCAGTAACAGCAAGACAGTCACTATGATCTGTGTTCATCAACAAACTAAACACTTCTGACAAATCCGAAAAAGTAAAAAATCCAAAATGCAAAAGTTATGTGATAAAAATATAGATGTACTCAGTCCTTAGCTGCTACTTTTGTTTTTCCACTGACATCAACGTGTCATCCTTTTTCAATCAAATCAAAGAGGATCTAAATATTGAGATGAAAGAATCAAAGGTTTATTTGTTCACACTACTGAGCCTATTTTGGAATGAATAGCTACATATTTAGCTATAAAGAATAACGATAAGACATAGGGTAGAAATAAGAATATAAAAGATACAGATTTACTGTTGACAGTGGGTCGAACAAAACCAGACATTTAAAAACTGTAATTGGCCGTTTTCATCCTTTTTTTGTAGGTAAATAAGTACAAAATAATTGCATCCTTCGCTTTTTTCACCAAGGTAGAGCGAGGAAGGAGGAGATCAAAAAGTTCTTACCTTGTCTCTTGTTGGTCTCCACTGAGGGAGCTCCGTGTGAACCCTTCAAACGACACCAGAAGATCTCACCTTTCCGTTAGTGTGCACAGACTGTGTGAGAATCAAACTTTTTGTTTCCCTCCCTAATGTCTTCTTTATTGTCTTAATCTTGTGGTTTTGGGATCAGTTTCCACTCTTTCCTGTGAGAGCTGACCTGAGATCTGCTCCACATCATCCTCCACCAATCACAGCCCGAGCACCTGCACTGACCCCACCCCACTGCCAGTCCCAGATGACCCCCTGGCATACACCTGTAAACAAGAGGCGCAGGTGGCTCAGAGGGCCGGTAGAGAATGATCTGATTGGCCACCAGATGGTTTGAGGGGGGGCGGTGCACCCTAGGGACCAATTAAAAAAAACAAAGGGTGTTTAAAAGGACGTCTGGGATTTGCACTCGAGCATGAAAAGACAACGACAAGAGCTTTTCCCCCGGTCCCTCGGCTGTGTTGGATCTAACAGGTTTCTCCATTTCAAATGTTTCTCCCGTTTGATATCAACCATAGAGGCGAACATTTGATTTAATTTGATCATTAAGTAAAGAGGAGGGAAGGTCTGGCTGCAAACTGGAAGACACTATGTGATTTATATTGCAATAATAATACTGAATATTAGCTTGCAGTAGATACATATAATACTTAAGCACAATTTGATGTAATGACTTGTACTTTAGTGTTCTTGCTCCAGTATAATTGTTATACAACTCTACTGACTGGTAACTTTGGTTTGGGAAACTACAATCAACTAATAATAGGGTACTGTACACAACTCAGTAATGCAACAATAACCTGCAAACCTGCAAATAATAACCTTACTTTTCCAACAAGGGACATTTTTGCACGAGTGATTTTAGTTACTTTTAAGTACGCTATTTCTTTAAAAGTAACTTTAAAAGTAATTGTAGCTACTCACAGAACGAGTAGTATTTTGATCCACCTTTAAGTCATGTTGGGTTGTATTTTGCTAATGATACTCATTACTTAATATGATGAGATAAACATGTACGATTTGACATATGTTACTGAGTATTTTTAGAATGTCTATTGCTAATATCTTTCACCAATGCCGTTAACATGTGGAGCTGCATGCTAGCACTTCAAGTTAACTTTAGCGCCTTGGCTAGCTAACGTTAACGTTAGCATAACATTTAAATACGACACATTAAATATCACAATAAACATACTCTATGACGTTATAGTAACTCATTATATTAGTCTTTCCTAACACATGAAGATTTTATTAACATATTGGTGGAGTTTATTCAACTTTTCAGCTTAATATGATTGAAAATATATCAAACTAAATAAGCCAAAGCTAGCAGCTGAACTAGTTTAACGTTAGCTTATTTAATTTGAGATAACAGAGACAAATATTATTATTTTATTAACTCATCAAAATGAGCTCCTCATTTACCAGGTAATTTACAACATTAAAACGTATACATGTGTATTGAATAGACCTTTCTGCATAATTACGTTAGATTTGTTAAATGATACTTTTATGCTTTTACTTCAACATTTGAATGCAACACTTTTAATTGTAAGCACTTCTTCATGGTATGCCTATTAGAAAAGTTACAGAAATAATAATACAATTTGTAAGAATAATAATACAAAAAGGTCCTCATATATAATTGTTCCCGAACTATGTTGCCTAATTAGTATTTTACAAAAAAGTTATTAGCCCATGCAGCTTTCAACTTTAATAATTTATTTATTTTAAGGCTTTGCAACACTACATGATAGTAAGACATGGAGATATTTACCTAAAGACAACGAAGACGTACAGACTCAACTCTCCATCACTTACCTGCTTGTAGTCTGGGTTGTATGGTTGTACTGCACTAGGCTATTTCACTAAAGGGCCACAGAGTGCATCTGACATATGTTACAAAAAGCAGCAGGGGGCGCTGTTGAGCTTTATATCATGAAGAGTTTCTAGGCTTCAAAACTCAAACCAGATCCTCTTGTTTGGTTTCATTTCAGGTGGATTTGATCAAAAATGCCTATAACACATTTGCAGAACTTGTGAGGTAAACACACAATGTAAATAGTTTTTCTTTTAAGCCACAGAATGAAGTCAAACATACCATGAGCTCAAAACAATTATTTATTTCCTGAATAGTAAACATTTTGCAGAGAAAAGGATTTTGCACGACCAGCGGCCAGCAACAAGATATAATAATGATTCTGTATTTTACTGCATGTATAACTCTTTGAAAACTGGCTGATATTTATTTACAAAACACATACAAAAACACTGAGAAGTTGTAGTTTTGGTACATAATTCTAAAAAACTAAATGTGGTTAAAGTGCTGAAAACACCAGATAGTATATCACATGAAAAAGTGATCCTGCATTAAATGTGAAGTTTCAAATGTCTCAAAAGGTCAGCACACAAAACCAACACTACCCTATTGGCTTGAAAATATATAACCGTTCAAAAAAGTGGATAATCAGATCAGATCATATTGGGCCTTTTAAATGTAGATACAATCAATATAACTCACACGCCAAATGTCATTTTTGTATTTGAAACAATTTCGGCCCCATATGATATAAAAGGAAATTGTTCCAAGCTAAAGTGACCCTCGAATATTATTGAAGCACAACGGTGCAATTGGGTTCTAAAGTTATCATTCTTCAGGCTACATGCAGGCTACTCAGTGGTTACATTGAAGAGGATTACAATGTGATTTGTTATTCTTTGCTATCTTGAGCTGATAGTCCCTGTTCCAGTTACAATAGAGTGGTACAGTGATGGCGTTTTTTTGTAGGCCAAACCGGAAGTTAGTTACACAAGGGCTCCCTCGACAAAAAGCAAAGGGATTTTTCCACTGGAGTTTTGAATTTTGTAGATAACAACATCTTTGGCAAACACACGTTTATGATACCGTAAACATTTTTTTCAACAGAATAAACTCCAGTGCAATTGGCAGAAGTAAAAACACATGATTTCACGTTACCACCGCTAAGCTAAAGGCGGCTAATGTTTGTTTACAAAATGTAAAGCTTGTGTTAACCGCTGACCTTATTTCAAGCATCGAACCAAAAACATAAAAACTGTTGACTTCAAGAAAAAGGAACTGCATCTGGTATAATGCTAACTCATTTCTGTGTATGGACTCATTCGTGCTCAACCATACAGACCTTCTCCTGGCACTCTCCGTGCGTACTTATCATTCATTTCAAACATCATCCGTCACATGCTGATGTGATCCAGATGTCTGTGTTCTTTGAAAACGTGTGGCGCTGAAGAGCCCTTTTAAGATGACAAACTGAGATGTAGAACAAATGTTGCTTAAAGTTTAACCTGATGCTAACCCGTAGCATCTGTAACTTAGCCTTGACGTTAACGTTAGCTCACGAGTCACGACAGCAGTCATATTCTCTCCATCACTAGCTGCATAGCCTTTCACTAAGGGATGTGGACAGACATTATGTATATGTAGAAGAGCAAGCAGAAACTCTGCTTGCCTCCATAAAATAGCCTTTGGTTAGCTTAAGTCTCAGGTAAGATTTTCTAAATCCTAAAAAAACAGAGCAATGAGGAGGTGCAGGGGTCAAGTTTTCTCTCAGACCACTTGAATTACAATATGCTGAGAGGGTATTATAAAAAAGATGCGAAAAGTACGTTGGCAACTGCAGCTTTAATGTGCATAAAACACATTATTATAGTCTAATAGGCCTGCATGTAACATGGAAAGGGGCGCCAAATCTGAATGGCTTAAATCCCATGTTATCTGACCCGTAGCCCCCCAAAACGGACTGGGTTGTCTTATATCGCAGTTTATGAGATTGAAGGCACTCCAAATACCCCGTTTTCTTTTCTGATCCCCATTTTCATTGTCTGCTTGAACTATTGGACAGCGTACATATCTTCTCAGATATGACTGGACCAAATCATGTGTTTTTGGTAGGAGATTCAAACTTTTGAACGGTAACATATTTGTTGTTGTATTTTGGGTAAACTGACACTTTAAATGTACATGTAGAGACAGTTAGAGAAGCCCTGCTTTGAAAAGATAAAACCTGTACAACCTACACTAACATACTGATAAATGACCTCTATACAAATGAAATACGTCTTTGTCTCCTCTGAGGCCAGAGCGAGGCTAAATCGAGTGTTTGAACACACACGTGTGTTTGCACATGTATGTACACACTGCTGTCCATCAAGCATCATGGTAAGCAGTTCATTATTTCATTAGGATCGTTCTCGTCCTCAGCCTCTGTTTGGAGGACTGAAGGCCGCTGGCCTCATCTTCATCTCAGCAAACGCGATGGAAAACTCTTTTCCTTTCCAGGTGGTCCAGATCACACCCTGAGACACGCACGAGAAATCACATGTTAGTGACTGACAGATGCTCCTGATGTTTTGATTTATATTCTCTGGTGTCAAAAGTGTGTGTGACAAGAAACGACTGAACCTTGCATTAGCTTTGTCCGAAACAAGCCCCCAGGAACATTAAAGGTGAATGATTGGGTTAAATAAATGAATGAATTTATATGGCCTTTTTTTTTATACTTTGTACCAAACCAAAATATTGAACAATTCACGATCAGCAGATGGAAAATTGGCACTGAAATCATAAATTCTGTGATTGGTTAATTTTGCTTTAAGTAGGGCTGCAATAATGAGTCAACTAATCAATCAATCCATTGGTAGAAAGAGGGTTGTCCCGCTATTCTCTGTTTAATATCATATTAAACCTTAGGGATGGTAATTTGGTACTGTTTTCTACATTTTATAGACCAAAAATGAATCGATTAATCTAGAAAATAATTGTTAGTTACACCATAGTTTAGCTCTGTCTGTAGGGACCAAAGTGTCGCAGGTTCAAATCCCCAAACGAATCAAGTGCAGAGTATGGACTGGTACCAGTTCACCTTATGGGCACTGCCAAGCCCTTGAGCAAGGCACCAGCCCCGCAAACTGCTCCCCCGGCACTGTATAATAGCTGATAATAACCTGATGCAGGATTAAATACAGAGACTACATTTACAGAGACAAAAAATGTGTGACTGTGATTAAACTTGTATAAATTTGAATCATCGATGAGCTGTGCCAAACATGAAATAGAATCAAGATCCTCCTTTTCAGGCAGATTTCATTTGGCTATTTGGTCCCAACAGAAATTGATTTAAAGATTTAACATCAATGTAACCGAACCTAACAGAGGGAATTATACGGACCCAGTAAATGCTGGCCACGTATAATTTTCTTAACTTTGCGTGACCAGCACTTTTTATATTATAGCCAGTAAAAGGGTACCTGGTGATTGATGTCCTTTCCGTAGACCCCGTTGAGGTTGGCCTTGTGGCAGTTCTTGTACCACCAGCCTCCTCGGTAGGACATGGCACAGCGGGTGATGGAGGACGCCAGATCCCGGTCTTTGGTGGAGAAGATCCGCTGGCTGTGATAACTGAGAGAGTCCCCTGAGACCGTGAACAGGAGAGAGACAAAGGGGATTAAAGGGGAAACAAAAAACATGAAAGTCTCTGATTCTTTCTTCGGATGCTAATTGTCAAGCTCATTTCTTAATTGAACCCTGCTATTTCACCAGGTTGTGTTTTAGAAGTTCAGTGTCAGCTCCTTCAATAAGCCTATAAAGTGTGTAGTTAAAATACAGAGAGCCCAAAGAACAGAAATGGCCCCATTAAAACCAAACAGACTTTACATCAAGAGCCTGGCTTATAAATTGTACTTTTAAATATTTTCTGACAGATGGGCAATTTTTGTTTGCATTATGGGGCAAATACTATGCGCTTATCCTGCTTTCCTGCAAAAAAAGAAAATCCATCAAAAATAAATGCTGTTGCTAATACTCAACATATTTCAGTCTAAAGAAAGTCCACAAATAATAATATTTTTGTGTTTTTTTTCACAACAACTTGGCATGAATTGATGTCAACAAACTGGCATTTAAACATACAAAAAAAGAATGGCGTTTTAGTAGTTATGATTTGGACTGATATTCGTCAAAAATATAACTCAGTGAATGTGAAAAAAAATTACTATATATTATTTGATTTTTTGTATTCAGTACTTTAGATTTAGCCAGTCCAACCTGCAGTGCCGCTGTATCCGCCCACGATGAGTTTGTAGTTCCTCTTCACCAGCTCGAAGGTGGAGTATTTGGCGAACACGGCCTCGTCTTCGTCTCGCAGGTCGACTCTCAGGGTCATCTTGGTCATGGAGGTCAGGTTGTAGAGGTTGTCCAGTCCTAAAGCAGCAGGAGATAGATCTGTTAAGTCTCGAGTAAGCATGACTTCCTGTCTGGATTCATTTTTGTTTGTATGTGAACAAAGCATGCAAGCTTAACTGACTTTATAATGGTTTTTTTTATGTATAAAGAAAAAAATACACTAAAATTCACACTGTGGATTTTGTTATAGCACCTAAAAGCACCTCAAATGTTTGCAGCTTCACTGTCAATGCTTTGGACTCAAATCCCAATATTTCTCACTTCGTGTTTGTCTCTTGTTGTTCACAGTCTTGCATCATGATGACGTCTTTTTCTTTCTGATAGAGACTTGTTCTTTTGTCACAGAGTCAACACCAGTATTTGGGATGTTCTGTTCAGATCAACTGAGCATATTAAAGTTTGACTCAGTGGCAGAGGAACAAATGGAGCACCTCAGGTTTGTTTAAGAGTTTTTCCACATTAATGGGATGTTTCTCCAGCTTTCATTTTAGATTATTCCTGTTCGGAATTTTAATGTTTAAAAAAATGACTTGAAAAAATGAGAAATGAGAAAATGTCCTTGTAAAGATCAAATATTCAGAACCCTCAGACCTGTGTTTGGATGAATCATGCAGGAAGTTTTCAGTCAACAGATGGCAAAGATTTGGGAAATATTTTGGGTTTCAAAATTATTCTGACACGTGTAACAATTCAAAATGGATGACTCCTATTTGTAAACATTGAATTAAGAGATTGCATGACTTCTTGAGGACCTACAGATGTTATTTGCATACAAAGTCCTTGGAAAGAAGTGCGGCACTTACTGATGGAAAGACTTATTTATGTGAGCATCAACATATTCGAAACTGAGTGAAAAATTGCAACAAAACAAAAGATGAGAAAGTCTTCTGACAGAAGAAAAATTCAAGAAAAAGAGTTTAGAGAATCTGACAGAAACACACACTGGTCCTATGTTGCTAACATTCTGTTTGCAGTATTTGCAATGTAAACTTTAAAACTATTACATTCAAAATCTCTCTGTTTGGTGTATTCTCAATATTTTCAGTTGAATGGAGTGTCTCCTTCTCACCCAGCCAAAACTCTCCACTCAGACTCCCAAATCCTTTAATGTACTCCTTCCATCCTCTGAAGAAATCCACAGAGCCATCCTTCCTCCTCTGGAACACCTGCACACGCACACACACACACACACACACACACACACACACACACACACACACACACACACACACACACACACACACACACACACACACACACACACACACACACACACACACACACACACACACACACACACACACACACACACACCACACACACACACACACACACACACACACACACACACACAGAACGATTAGGGATCGCAATTTATATCAAAACTAAAAACATTTTTAAATCAATGTTCAAAATCCTGGTGTCCCGCCCCCAGAACCATCAAAGCTTATGAAAGACGAGCAAGCTCAAGTGTCTCATTAGAAGCTCTAGTCTAAACAAAATATGTAGAAACGGCTAGAAGTGAGTCTTAATAGTATTAGTTGTTTTACTCTCAATAAGTGTAACTGCCAGGTTTAAATACATTTGTAATAAGGGTGAGTTATACAAGTGCATTTCCTTTAAGGAGCAGTAGGGTTGAAAACGGTTACAAAGGGTTTAACACAAGAAAATATTACATTACATTACATTTAGCTGACGCTTTTATCCAAAGCGACAATAAGTGCATTCGACCAACAAGATACAAACTTGAAGAAAACAGAATCATATAAGTACATCAGGTTTCATAGAGCTAAAACATTTCAAGTGCTACTCAACTGGCTTTAGTGTTTCTCAAACTTTTTCATACCAAGGACCACTTAACCAATAAAAAAACACTCGCGGACCACCTAACTGCAAAAATATTCAAAAACACATCGTTTTTATAGAACAGATTACAAATCGCCTGAAAATGGTATAAAGAAGTGGCAGCATGATTGATGAAGGTGTTGCGCTGGGGCTGGGCTATATCATGCAATCGAAAGTGAAACTTAAGCTCGCATTGCGGAGATATTCCCGCGAGAGTGCGGAAAACTTTTATTTATTTCAAATGTGAAATTGTACCAATATACTCACGGTTCCACTAGGGGGCGCTCACGGACCACCAGTGGACACTTTGAGAAGCAATGATAAGCCAGTCCTTTATTAGTATATAAGTGCTTTGTTAGTAATTCTATCGCTCAAAGTGGAGTCGAAAGAGATGAGTTTTCAGTCTGCGCCGGAAGATGGGCAAGCTATCTGCCGTCCTGATGTCAATGGGGAGCTCATTCCACCATTTAGGAGCCAGGATAGCAAACCATCATGTTTTTGCTGATGGGAACTTGGGTCCCCCTCGCAGTGCGGGTGCAGCGAGTCGTTTGGCTGATGCAGAGCGGAGTGCACGTGCTGGGGTGTACGGTTTAACCATGTCCTGGATGTAGGAAGGGCCAGATCCATTCGCAGCATGGTACGCAAGTACCATTGTCTTGAAGTGGATTCTAGCAGTTACCGGTAGGCTGCGGTAGATCTGCGTTCGCCATTTCGACAGTTCCTCAAATTACTGACTAAATTTGAAACGCATCCCTGTGACCAGCTCTCATAGTATGCCTCTCGTCCAATGAAATGACTTGCTCGCTCTATGACGCGTTGAACCCAATGTGAGTAAATTACTCTGAATGCTGCGACGCATCACCTGAGATTACTTCCAAGAAGTTGTTCACGTTCTCAATTTTTTACGTTTAACGTTATATTCGTTCGGTACACTTCGGTACACACGTGTACCGTTACACCCCTACTATCCAGCTAACGTTACAGTAGAAATAATTATTTCTAAGAGAACGCCAACGTTTAATCTCTGGCCCTCAAGAGTATTTGTGATTATGGAGTGTGTTATTAAAGAACAGTGTGTCAGTGAGGGCCCCGCACCGTCCAGCCGCCTCCGTCCGTCTCCATGTCACAGTACACCATCACTGGGGGCCCAGATCTCCCCTGAGGGAAGATATCCACCTCTCCTGACGTCAGGATGTCGTTCAGCAGCTCCTGAGAGCAGTCTGTGGGGAAGGGGAACCTCAGGGTGCCTGAGGAGGAGGAGGAGGAGGAGGAGGAGGAGGAGGAGGAGGAGGAGGAGGAGGAGGAGGAGGAGGAGGAGGAACACAGGAATTTAGACTTTATCTCTATCAGTTTATAACAGTGGTGAAATTAAAATGACCTTAGCTGTACACAAAAAACTGTGTATTTTACTTTCCATTTCATGAAAATTCACAATTCTACTCCACTACATCTCTACATCTTAAAATATTAAAATGTTTTATCTTCCTTACTGTCCAGCAAAAAACAACCAGATGTGTTGATTGAAACTGAAGTATGAGGTGTTTCTTTATGTGATCAGAAATGATACTACTTTTAAAGTAATACAACTAATACACCACTAAATATATATATTGTCGAATGTAATGTCACATTTTGAATTTTTATTTGTTTATCTTACTTAATGTGTATATGAATTTCTATTCTATTCTATTTTATCTTATCTTTTAATCTTAGTCATATGTTTTTAACTTTACTTTGATTTAGTTTATCTTTTCATTGAACATTCTTGTATGTTTATATACATATTTGTATTATTTTTGTATTTATCTTTATTTATTTTAATCTTAAAAGGAGCAACACAAATGCAACACAAATACAGCAGTAATATTCATCTAAAAACATCAAATATCAGGGTAAAACATGTTGCTGCACATTGACTACTTTTACTGTTCATACTTTAGGTAAATGTTCCTGATAGTATATTTATTAGTACGTTTACTGCGGTACGATGCAAGTGCTTACCGGTGGTGAAGTGGGTGGAGAGGGGGGCGGTGTTCGGCCCTCCGCTCTCCGCCTGGAGCTGCACCGTGTATCTGGACGAGGGGTGGAGTCTGCTCAGGTTGAACTCTGTCACAGAGCCGTCCACGACCACTTCCTGTGAAAAGGAGGAAGCAGGAAGTCAGCAGATGGTTGTACACTGAGTGAAGCTACATTCCAAACCACCCCCTGCCTACACCCTACCCCTACACACTACCCCTCCGTTTGCGCGGAGGATCCACCACATTAAGTGCTGTTCCAAACCAACGAGTGTGGAGGGGGAGTGGGTTATCAAGCCCTCAAACAGCGAGTCTGCATCAATGCTGACTTCACCTGCTGCCCTATGTGCTGCCCTACCTGACCGGACTCAACGCTGTGTGTGTCCGTCAGGAAACACGCTGTTAACAAGTAGTTCCAGCAAACATCCACTGATAAACTGCGATGTTAACAACCTCATGATAACCTCATGCTTTTATAAAACCTTTTTAACTTAGGATCATACCTGTGTTTAGTCTAGAAAAAGGTAAATGTGCGCATTTTATTATAAAGTTGTGTATATTTACAGACTGTTGCAAAAACTAAGAAGCTTATAAACATCAGGTTTAAAACTAAAAGAGTTGTACACAATTAAAGATGTTTTGAAATGTTTTGTCTAAGAGATGCTGATTTGAAACCGTTGTTACATACAGTTACGGCATTTCCTGTTTCTGCCGGAGAGAGGGGAGGCCGTCCCAAAGCTTGCTGCTGTATTTACTCCCTCCATCTGACAGGAGGGAGCCTCGTTGAGCTGCGAGTGTCACTCAGCCACGGAGTTCACTCCGTCACGGAGGGGGAGTGGGTAGGGTGTGGTTTGGAATTGGGCCTGAGTTTACAGTTTAGACATGCGTGAATTTATTTAGCAAATTTGCAAACAAGATCCACTGCCAGGGGTCGCTGTATACCTAAAACCGCCAACGGGTAAAATGTACCCGCTATTGATTTGCAAGGTACAATGTTATTTTATTTATCATACAGAACAGTGAGTTTTGATCGCACAGGGATGGAATTTATACCAATATAATCTGTGGACTCTCAGCTTTTCATATTATATAGTTTGTGCAGATAGCATGAAGTATAACATATCGCTACCAGTGCTGATTTGGTGTTAGACTTGTGTTTGAGAGAAATCTCTCTTCTCTCTTCTCTCTCTTCTCCCTTCTCTCTCTCTCTCTTCTCCTCTCGTCTCTCTCTCTATCTCTCGCTATTCATCTCTCTATATCTCTCTCTCATCTTCTATCATCTATCTCTCTCTCTCTAGTATCTCTCTATATCTCGCTCTCGTATCTCTCGATAGCTATCTTCTCTATATATCTATCTCTCCTCTCTCTCCTCTCTCTCTCTCTCTCTTCTCTCTCTAACATCTGTTTCTCAAACTTTTTCATACCAAGGACCACTTAACCAATAAAAAAACACTCGCGGACCACCCTAACTCCACAAATATAAAAAACACATCGTTTTTCTAGAAACATATTACAAATCGCCCGGAAAATGCGTACAAAACAAGTGGCAAAATGTTTGATGAAGGTGTTGCGCTGGGCTATATGCAATCGAAAGTGAAACTTAACCTCGTTCCGTTGCGGAGATATTCCCACGAGAGTGCGGAAAACTTACATTTATTTATTTATTTCAAATAAGAAATGTTACCAATATACTCACGGACCACTAGGGGGCGCTCACGGACCACCAGTGGTCCGCGGACCACACTTTGAGAAGCACTGATCTATATATCTATATCTATCTATCGATCAGCTACGTGCACTCAGGGGAGGCAGGGGAGGCAGAGCCTCACCTGTCATACTCCAATGTAACGGAAAAACAACTAAAGAAAAACTAAATAGTAATAATAATAAAATGTCTCCACTGATCTGTGTTGTAAATGTGATTTCTGTATGAAATCAGCAAATTTGACGAGCTCCGCTCAGGCCCGCCTTAACCTGCCATCAGGCCCTGGGGCTGATGGTTTTGTAGGCCCCCTATTTAAACAAAACACTCACGAGAAACACCGGCTGTTGTTATGCCTGCTGTGACGTCAAGTTACTCCGTTCTCCGCTTGTAATTATGCCGTTACAAGCTTCAAAGTTGTATTTATCATCTGAATTTGCCGAAAGAAGTTTAATATTCTGAAAGCCAAGACTTTGTTTATTTGAAACCAGATGAAAACAAACTGTAACGGACCCTGCCGTGTTATCTATGATTACTATACGCCTTACATTCATCATTTCAGCCGGAGGGAGGGGGAGTGAGTGGCGAGTGAGAGCTGTCATCTTCCCTTTACAAGCTTCACAAATGTATTTATTGTGTGATTTTGGAAATAAAAGTTTCATATTCTGAAAGCCAAGACTTTGTTTATTTAAATGTTTTTTAAAAACATCCGAAATAAAAAACTTTTTATTTTTTTATTTAAAGGGATAGTGGAAATCCGCGAATTTTGGGTTTAACTTATGTATTTTTATTAAAAATAAGCATAATAAACAATTTTTTTTAATTTCATGCGCCTAGTTTCATTTTATTTTCAATTTTACTGCGCCCTCTCAATGAAACGAAATACTTCGGGAATCGTCGGGAATCTTCGGGTGATGACGAGAGCATAGGAAGACGGGCACAAACAATGGCAGACATCCAATAGCATTTGCATGTGAATAGCCGACCTTTATTATGGTGAATAGATGTGTTTTGTATGGTTGTAGTGCGACAGAAAAATTCTACGTGACACAACGACATTGGATTAACCTTGAGATGCGTTTTTATTCCGTTGAACACAACTTTTGATCACAAATCAAAAAAGGAAAGACGTAATTAGTGTAATATTTTTGGAACCGGATGTTGTTTACTTTCTCTTTTCTGGCTGATAGCTCCAGGAATTCGAGGTCTTACAGTGATGACATTACATGTGTGGAATCTGTGGAGTCTCAGCTTTAAATCGTATATCTTGTTTGTGCAGTTAAGATAGTAATAAGGGCATTTCTACCGTGTGTTGTGTGTAAAAAAGCGTTAGCATTAGTTAGCATTGTTTCGCTCAATGCTAATTCAAAGGCTTGGTATTACTCGTGTTTTTTCTAGCTAACAATTGTTCTTATTGTCAGTTAGCGCACTTAGCGGAGTTTCTTACCTTTAAAAGGGTATGAAACATTAATAGTTTCATAAATGTTAAGAAGCCCTGAGACATGTGAGAGAAAAAAAACTGTGGGAGGGGTCCACTGGGGGGACCTTCGGGCTTAACTGGTTAACAATGATTAATATTTGTAAAGGCTACAGGTGATCTTAAGATGCGTGAGCTATGCTTAGGGACCTACCAGTCAAGATTATTTGTGCGTAGGGGTGCATCATCTGGCGCCTGGTCCTGGTCATCCTCGCCATTGCCCATGCCGTGAACCATCACCTCGGGCTCGGGCTCGAACAAATAAGGACGTAATGGTCCATCGTCTGGCTCAATATTGTCACCATCGTCGCTTACTGAACCGGATTCAGATTCAGTTCCTAAAACGACATTTTCGTAGGAAAGCCGAGAGGATGTTTCTGACTCGCTATCATCACTGGATACCTCGTACAATCCTTCTTCTTTGTCTGGTATATTTGCCCTTCCACGTTCATTCTGCATAGACGCCATGGTTTGTTATCGTATCGTCTTCCTAAGTTTTCGTCACTTCCGGTTTGGCTGAGTCGAACATTTCGTTTCTAAAAAACTTCGGGGAAGCTGCAATAAAGTGCTTCTAACATGCGTAAGGCAATTATTATATTTTTGTAATCAGGTGTGATTGTTTTGGTACGTAATTATGCTTGTATATAAGTTAAAACGAAACTATTTGAGGTTCCATTTCCACTATCCCTTTAACTTTTTTTTTTTTTTAAACTTTTTTATTGGCTCATGATAGGCCCCTGATCTCCGTAGGCCCCTGGGCTTCAGCCCAGGTCAGCCTGTGCATTAAGGCGGCCCTGGCTCCGCTACAACTACGGGTAGCGATGAGAAGTGAGGCAGGGACGAGCTCTGCCTCTCGTAAGCCCACAGTAACTGGCTGGAGCGCGGGCACTAATTTAGCGCGGGCACTTATTTTGTGAGCGATTAAATGATATGATGAATTGGAAATGGGGGACCCTGATGTAAACAAGACGAAAGTCTTTCTCTGGTCTGCATCCCCTTAACAATTGTATGTTTTGAGCTGTACTGTACTGTACCCAATATACAAGCTGTTAATAAACTCAATCAAGCCAGTTACTGTGAGGTGAGGCACAGATGAGCTCTGCCTCACCTCAGAATGCGTCACCCCACAGAAACTGTCTGGAAAGCGGGCCCTAAGCGCATGCCTGCACCATCTCACTGTATGTCACCAATGTAATGTTTGTAGATCCCTTTATTACATTTATCCTCACCATCCATAGTCTCTAAATAACTTATTTCACGTATATATGATATTTAGGCTCGCTGGTCTCATCATACAACGGCAATGAAAAAAGCACCAGGGGAGGCAGCCATAACCTCTGCTGCACTGAAGGGGGCGCAAGTGAGCCCACAGTTCCTTGTTGCTACTGTTATTCTACGCAGAGACGGTATAGACGCCAACAACAAACTAGACTTTTGAAACTAGAGGAAGATAAGGAGGACTTTTACAAAAAAGTAATAGAGATTATTGTCCAGAAGGATAGCATGGACTTCATCTTCAAGTCAAGGTAAGACCACAATTGTAATGAAAATTGGATCTTACTAAGAAAGAACAATACAATATTTAGATTTTGGGTATCCTTTTGTTGAAAGGTCTGTTTAAAATGAATCGAAGCATCAGACTAAAAAAGCTTTTGAAAATAACAGAATATTTCGATTATGGTCAAAATATGATATTTGTAAATCTGACTCTGAAAGAGTCAGTGCCTCACCAGCCATGAACCTCACCGCACGTCACTGCTATCGATCCATCTATAATGTTCTGTTCTATGGACATATAATTGTCTACATAAACAGACCACGCAGACTACTTCTCTCATTCCGAGTGTCCATCTTTATTCAACTGGCACGCAACCTGCACACATGCATTACGTCCTCAACGTGAGCTCAGTCATCCAAGATCTTGTATTCTCCAAGATGTTACACTATCTATAACCAGTACTCGAGTTGAGGGGGGATGAGGGGGGATGACATCCCCCCTGAAATAAAAACGGTCAAAATCATCCCCCTTCTAAAACTGCCATTCCCCCTTTCCATCCCTTATGTAATTTTATCAATGAACGTGGCACTGGTATTACTGCTATTTCAACATTAATTTTGCGCATTTTGAGTAAAATACTGTGGGCGAGGGAGCACGCACACACGCAATGACATTTTTACCAAGTCACTGACGCTATACTATGCGAGTGCCCTAGAGGGCGCCAGAGCGCCGTGATGCGCCTGTTTGATCGATGCCAGAAGCGCAGGTAACGGTCATCACAATGGCCAAGCGACCAGGAGGACAACGCGATCTGAGGGACTTCCTATTTAAAAATACTAAAAATAACATTTCAGGTAAGTCAAGAGTCAGTAATCTTAGTCATTACTCATTACTTTAGTCACCAAAGGTGGAATCTATGGACATAAGCAGCAATAACAACTTAGTTTGGAGTTTAGCTACGTTTTTCTCTCGTGTTAGCTCGCTGGTAAGACTCAAAACTGTTGATGAAATGATACCACCTGCACCAGAAGAGCTGAAACCCCTCCTTCAAGCAGTGAACACTCTGGTCATCTCCACAGCTGAGTGTGAACGTGGGTTTAGTCAGATGAACATTTTAACCACAACTAGAAGCTCCCTAGAGGTAAAAAGCATGTCAGCCTTGCTTTTCATCAAGTGTGTTGGCCCTCCACTGAACAAGTTCAGACCAGAGATATATGTCAAGACTTGGCTTCAAAGCCATTGCTTAGCTAACAATCCGAAAGCAAGAGAAAATTGAGACCAAAAAACATGATTATGAAAATCTTTGGATACTTCTATGAGATGGGGGAGAGTGGAGTAGGCAGCCATTGACAACATTGGTCCTATTTTGTATTATCTATAATCTTTTAATATATTTTCATATTTTATAAACAATTTTAATTTGCAATTAATGCCCTGTTAAAAAAAGTAACATTGGGAATGTTAACATACAATATTTGTATTTGAACTGCAATAAAATGATGACGGATCAATATTTTTCAAATTTGTTTCCTCAAATTGTTCATGAAGTGTTTAATTTACATAATGATTTAATTAATTACGATAAAAATGTAACCCTTAAGATACCAGTTTTGATCATATACCAGTAACTGCTTTTTTGAAAAAATACACTATAATTCAATATTCTAAAAACTATTTTGACTTTATTATTAGTGTAATCAACTCGCTGCGAGGGGGACCCAAGTTCCCATCGGCAAAAACACGTGGGTTTGCTATCCTGGCTCCAAGATGGTGGAATGAGCTCCCCATTGACATCAGGACAGCAGATAGCTTGCACATCTTCCGGCGCAGACTGAAAACTCATCTCTTTCGACTCCACTTCGAGCGATAGAACTATTAACTAAGCACTTATATACTAATAAAGGACTGGCTTATCTAAAGCCAGTTGAGTAGCACTTGAAATGTTTGGCTCTATGAAACCTGATGTACTTATATGATTCTGTTTTCTTCAAGGTTGTGTCTTCCTGGTCGAATGTACTTATTGTAAGTCGCTTTGGATAAAAGCGTCAGCTAAATGCAATGTAATGTAATGTATAATCAGTTGGTCCATCTGAATAATAAATGAGGGACTTTTAACCTACAAGATTTGTACCATAGACTTCCATTATAACCACATTTTTGTATCCCCTCCCCCCCTTTAAATTAAAGTGAAAAAAAGATTTTGCACTAATTGTCCTCTGCATTTGACCCTAAATGTTAGTGGTGCCATGGCAGCCCGGGGACCGACTCTAATTCTGAGGTGCCTTGGTCAAGAGCAATGAAAGGAGTATCTGAACATCCATAACATGCATGTTGTTTTAGGAGTATAATAATTAGGGATGCACCGAATATTCGGCCACCGAAAATTATCGGCCGAAAATGGTTAAAAAGGCCCTTTCGGCCGAAAGCCGAAAAAAATATCACCGAATGTCAGAACAGGCTTACGTTGGTAACCTAACGTGTTGTTGTGATGACGTAATAAAGACGCGGCGACCATGCTCGCGGCTGGCTCACAGGGGGGGGGGAACATTGACCTTTGTCATCGAGATTGCCCTGAGCCTTTAACAAATCGTATTAAATAATGTGATGACAGAACTGTAAACAGAATAGCTGCAATTTTAACAAACTAAATAACTCAGTTTCCTCTAATCATTAACCCATGTTTGTATCATGTAGTTAACTCCGTGTGTAGCTGCTAGCATACATAACACCTGACGTGGAAACGTTACTCGTGGATGGGGCTACAGAGCTGCTAGAAAGACGGTCGAACCCGGTACATTCCTCCGTCTGCATGCGGTGCACTAAATGTTTAGACAAATTGCTCGTGCTTACATGCTAAACTCTTATTGCACTTATGGTAACAAGTATTCTCCACATCGAGACGGGTAAAGTTTAACCACACCTCGGAGCGCGTTCTCTCCGCCATCTCCGCAGTGTGCTCCGCTGCATGTAGCAGCTGCGTGTATGTAAACTGCCCCGCCCCCTCGCACACAGACGGGGGAGAGAGATCTCGTCTGATCGAAAATACATCATAGACGCATTTGTTATCTTTGCATATTAGAAACGAGTTGGCGACACTAAGACTGCGATATAATGTTTTTTTAGCAATATTACATGACATATATAAATGTACTGTATGCATTCAAAAGTGCTGAATAAATGTTTTATGGACCCATAATAGTGATTATTATTTAAGTTAAGTTTTGCCATAATCATGTCTATTTCCATAATCAGGTAGCTGAACAACATTGGTAAAAAATGTATACATTATATATATATATTTCTATTAATCATTTTTGGCCTTTCGGCATTCGGTTTTCGGCCAACTGTTTCCTATTTTCGGTATCGGTTTCGGCCAAGAATTTCCCATTCGGTGCACCCCTAATAATAATGATCTTTATGCTGGTTGGTCTCCCACCCTCGGCGAACCGCAGTAGACAAAAGGCGTTGCTATAGCAACACGTCATGTTTACGCTGCATTTTCTATGAGGTAAATATTACCCGGTTTTTTCAATCTGACTTCCTATTGACCATTTTTAACTACAGAGGGTGCTATATAACACACTTTCAGCAAAAGTCATGGACTGGGAGACTTTAATATGTTATGGAAAAAAAGTTACATACAATCAAAAAACAGCTGCGGGTAAAATGTACCCGTTGGTGGTTCTAGTGTTAACCAGTTGAGAAAAAGTTTTTGTATTTTTAAATCTAGACTGATTTAAAGGTGCTTTTATCTAAACGTTTTAAAGCTAAATGCCCTGTAATTATTGTATTATATTTCTTATGTTTTCAGATTATTTCTACTTTAGACTGAGATTTTTATTCAAACACTTTTTTAGCTTTTTTTGGTTATGAGTATTGTCTTATCTTTGAATGTATTTGGTATCGTACTGTAGCGTACCGTATCGGACAATAACGAATCGTTCCATATCATACCGCATCGTATTGTATTACTTTTCTCACCTTCACTTCTTGACCCTCAGTCTGATAAGTCAGTCTATAGCTGCCTGCAGGCTTTGTATGTGGTTTCCATGACAACCGTGCAGTGCGAGGGGTCACGTCTTTGGACTGGAGATCGCCAAACCCGTCTCCATCACCTCCAGAGCCTGGAGAGAGAGTAGAGTAATTTGTATTATTTCAACTTCCATGTGTGTGTGTGTGTGTGTGTGTGTGTGTGTGTGTGTGTGTGTGTGTGTGTGTGTGTGTGTGTGTGTGTGTGTGTGTGTGTGTGTGTGTGTGTGTGTGTGTGTGTGTGTGTGTGTGTGTGTGTGTGTGTGTGACCTGAGGTGGTGGTGAAGCTGGTGGAGGCCTCTGAGCTCTCCTTGCTGCCCAGCTGGCTGCTGATGGTGATGGTGTAGGTGGTGGAGCCCTGCAGGCCGCTGAGCTGCTGCTCCGCTGCGTTCCCAGACAGCGTGACCCTCAGCTCTGAGTCTGAACACACACCAACAATCACTCATAGGTACTTTAACATGATAATATATATATTTTTACTTTAGGAGTCTCAGTGATGTAAAGTAACCAGAAATCCTTTATTTGTCGCCAGTGGGGACATTTACAGAATTACAGCAGCAAAGGAACAGTACATATAAAAGGCAAGAGAAAAAAGAGTAGACTTATATACTAAATACAAATATAAAGACATAGGCAAAAAACAAATAAGTGCATCCTTGTAGAAAACAATAAATAAATAAGAAGCTGTATTGAAGTAAATATGTATAATAAATACTAAGTACCAAAGGTGCCGGTAACTATGTATTTTTAACCAAGGACTGTTCTTAAACCCTAAGTTGGGGTCCTTGGGTAGCGGGGACCGAAGAACGATTTCCCAGCTTCATTATTTATTTATTTTAGGAACTTTTAGTTAACAATTCCCACATTTTTCATAGGGTCCCCAAATGATACCTTTTTTCAGTTTTATAAGACATTGTATTCATTACATTACATTACATGTCACTTGTTAGACGCTTTTATCCAAAGCGACTTCCATACTCAATACTGTGGGCAATCCCCACAGGAGCAATTTGGGGTGAAGTGTCTCAGGGACACAACAACATGCTGACTGCAGTGGGGTTTGAACCTGTGACCCTCTGATCCGAACACCAACGCCCAGCCACTGCGCCACATGCCTCAATGTACTTAAAGGGGACCTATTATGCAAAATGCACTTTTTGATGTATTTTATACATAAATATGTGTCCCTGACACACGAGCAAACGAGCAGATCCAGAATTGTGGCTCTTATTACGTCATTGGTGACATCCGGCACACGTACCACGTCCCAACCTATCGTCTCCGGCACACGTACCACGTCCCAACCTATCGTCTCCGGCACACGTACCACGTCCCAACCTATTGTCTCCGGCACACGTACCACGTCCCAACCTATTGTCTCTGGCACACGTACCGCGTCCCAACCTATTGTCTCCGGCACACGTACCGCGTCCCAACCTATTGTCTCCGGCACACGTACCACGTCCCAACCTATTGTCTCCGGCACACGTGAGACGTCCCAACCTATCGTCTCCGTATACAGTCGTCTAGCTGAACCCCCTCCCCAGCTGTGTGTCTGTGTATTCAGCAGGATGTCTGCAGGAGGCACTTAGAGTACAGTTGTTATATATAATACATATAATGGCACTGTTCTAGCGGTAAACACTTAAGAAAGAACATGTCAAGCTATGTGCTGTATCAGAAACAATGCGTGGCGTGTTTTGGGAGTAATATGCTGTGTGTTTATATTAGCAAGCATGCTAACACTCAGAGCTAATGCTGTACTGGAGAGAATATGTGTAACGTAATGTCCTTGTGGTAAACCCTGCGAGAGAGAAAGGTTTGAGCTCCATACTGTTTCAGAAATAAAGCTTGAAGTGGTTAGGAGCATAACATGGCATTCAATCACCGCAGCGTTTAGCTGAGATATCCGGTAGAAATCTCTCAAGCAGGGGAAAGCTGCGTGACGCTACAAAGGGGCGTGGCTAGCAGCAGACGTTCAATTTAAAGCAGAATCAGCCAGTTTGGAACAGGGCTGGAATAGAGGGGTATGAGCAGTATGAGGCATGGCTACAATGGGTGATCTGTTTAGTATTTTAGGCAAAAAACTTCACAGACATGTTTTGTATAGTTATGGCCCTACAATATATGTTTCAAATATAGCATAATAAGTCCACTTTAAATTTGCCATGTATTGTTGTACTTTAATATATTTTGATGAGAAGTATTTTTTATCGGTATTGTTTATATATTGTATATTATATTGGGTCAAATATACCCGACGTTAGTAATGGTGTTACGATATTGTTCATTAGTGTTCTAAGGTTAAGTACAAATTACTTGTAGAGTATATTTAGCTACTTTTTACTTCTACTGCATTAGTGCAAACTATTTTGTCTTGTTTTTTATTAATGTCCTCGCATCTGAATGTTTCTGAATATATCTGTATATTGAATATTTTGTATATTCTTCCTATTGTAAAACTCCATATTGCATATCAAAGAGAATATATTGTTACGAATTTCGGCCATTTAAAAAAAGAAAAAGATGCATTGTAAATATTTATTGATTTGTTAGTATTATCATGTTGTATTACTATTGGTTACCTGAATCGATGTTAAAGTCCTTTTATTAACCTACACAGCTTTACATCACCAAGCACCTTCTTAACTCAACGACTGCCTTTCTTTTTATGTTTTTTAGTATCCAACAAGAGCCCTTAGATCCTCCAGTGCCCTGCTTTTAGAAATTCCAAGGGTATCACAGAAGAGATCTGGGGAGGCTGTGTTCTGTTTTTACGGCCCTGAACGATGGAACAGCCTCCCCGTGGATCTTAGAACAGCAAACTCCCTTGAAATGTTTAATCTTTTTAATATGGCTTTTAATTTGGGTTTACTTTCAATTGTCACTAGTACCCTACCATTGTCCATGTTTGACTGCATTTTGTTTCTGTTTAGCTTTTATTTTACATTTTTTATTTAGTTTTTTTAATTGTTATTTTAACATATTATCACTGTAGATGTTTTATCTTGTTCTGTATTCATTTTTATATTATTTTAATATTGTTGTTATGTTTCCTGTAAAGCACTTTGGGCTGCTTTGTGCATGAAAGGTGCTATACAAATAAAGTGTATTATTATTATTATTATTATTATTATTATTATAATGAAGCTTAGCGCAAGTTCAATGAGGAAGACCAATACCCCCTGGTGTTACACGTCACTTCAATCTCCTCTCCCATTAAGTAATCAGGGGCGTTACTCCCCAGCTAGCCAATCATCGCACCTGCTAACCCCTTTAAATCTGCTCTTCCCTCTCTGTCAGTTGTCATTTCAGGTGACACCCACCCCTTCGCCTCCTGTCTCCTAATTCAGGGCCAAGCTAATCCTTCTTCCTTCAGACCAGACCGAACCACTTATCACCACCACCAGTGTCTAGACCCCAGGGGGGTTCATCGGAGCGGTTTTCCCCTCCCGAATGATCATCCTACAAACCGGGGCCTAATCTCCAAACATCAGTTAATTCATTGTTGTAATCTGTCAATCATCATTTTCTTATACCATGTGTCCCGGTAATAAACATGTATTTCATACATCACGTCTCTCCTGATTGAAATGCTTTTCTACTTAATGAATGTTTCATTTAGCCCAGAAACATGAAGTTGAGGTTCTTCTGAGGACACCGCTCACCTGTCCCAGAGCCGTAAACAATGGCGTATTTATCCACAGCAGCCAACGCTGGTTGCCACAGCAACAAGGCCTTGGTGTTGGTGACGTTCACGGCCCGGAGGTCTGTAGGCGGGTCAGGCACTGAGAGAGAGATATGATCATTTATTATATTTGATCTTTAATTGCACCAAAATGCTAAAAACAGAACACTTAAAGGGAACAATATATAAAAAAGAAACATCCAAATGACGATAGAGCAAATCATAAAGAGAGCAGATGGAGGATTTACACTGCGAGACAGATGGACTTTGGTTTGTCAACAGTTACACATCAGTGCTTTGAAATAACAGAGCTGTGAACACATCCAGGACCCTCCTCTGAGGGAAGAATGCTCCGATGGTTTCCAGACCCTGCACCTGCTGCAGACATGTAGACATGTAGAGAGGAACAAGAGGAGCCATTGTGTTTAGCTTTTTGGTCTTTATTTTTTCTTGAGGTAAACGTTTATTAAAAAGAAAATCAGGAATCTTTTGCGTAAAAAAAAAACAACAACTTAAAATTCCTGTTTTAAAGAAATAGGGTCTGGAAAGAATCATATAGGGATATTTCCGAAGATTAGTTATTTGATTAAAATAAACACAGACTGCTCAATATTCATTATATTCCCTCATAGAGCGGTGCATTGACAACATATTAGCTTAAACAAGCCCTGAGGTTAGCATCGCAAGGGCTCCCTTTTTGTATGACAGATAGAAGCTTAGGAAGGGGTATTCACTGACGTATTGATGTCATAGAGAAAGAACGATAATGTCTTAAATGTGTGCTAACCACAGATCTTATTTCAGGCATCTCACCACCGGGGGTCCCTAAGGTTGCTTAACATGCTAACTCACTTCCAGGTTATCCTTATTGCATTCAGCACCAGCTCCCCTGAAATCTGAAGGACTTACATGTCATGAAAAAGTCTGCGATGGGGTCGCTCTCGTCCAGCCCGAGGATGGAGACCACGCTGACCTCGTAAGAAGAACCAGGGGAGAGCTGTGATAGGCCGAGGGTGGAGTTACCTCTGTCGATGGACACTGACATCGGCTCACCTGCAGAGACACACAAAGGAGAGCAGAAATGTGTGTGTTAAGCTGCATCTACTGACAATAATCTGCAAGTCTAAATCAGTAATCACTAATGTTGAAATCAGAAATATGCTTTGCCTCCCTGTCATCAATTATTACTCATAACAATACAACAAATGGGCCAGGCCAATTGTGGTTGAACCAATGAGAGCTGATTCAAGTATGTTAACATTTTGGATTTCTATTAAACAGCAAATAGCAAAGGCTTAACAAATATTATAATACTCATATTCACCCCCACACATTACAATGCAGAATCTAATTGCATAGTTTGTAGAATTTAGAGGGTTGCCTGATTAAAACAGTTGATTTTAAATATTATTACAATAACAGGACTGACATTTCTGTTACTTCTAAAAAATATCTTGTCACAGAAATCAACTAAAAAGTAAAAAGTACCAAAACAAGTTGGGAGTTGTTGAACAACTGTTTAAAGCAGGATCAAAAACAAAAATCGGTACTGTAATAAACGCTTTGATACTTTAGTAAGCAGAAAAAGTAGGTTATAATAAACTTTGCAGAAAGTAATTGACAAAGGAAATCCGATATCAAGACATTGAGATATAAATGATGCTAATTTTCAGGATCATATTTGTATATGTTTCTCTTTATTTTTCTCACACTGCCTGTGCTGCAGCACCTCTTTTCACCCTCTGTCTGAAACCAGAGCCCAGTCCGCTCTGACTGGTTAGCTGGCCGAGTGTTACATTGTGATGTCACTATGTTACGGAAGTAAACAAAGGGGGGCGTTTCAGGCAGGGGGGAAGTGTGTGGGAAGGAAACTCTCTGGAGGGAACACAGGGATTTTAGACTTTGCATACCATTTACATGCACTACAACCTGTAGAACACTACAGGAGAGGGAAAAGCCAATAGAGTCTATTTAACCCTTAGATGCATACAGTAAGTGGGTATTTTTTGACCCGGTGAGGTGGTATTCTTGAGGTATTTTCGTAATTAAAAAAATCTATCATTTCATATTCTAACTATTCCTCAAAAAATATGTTTTGGATATCATACCATTCAAATATTAAATTTAAATTGTATACATTTTAAGAAATTGTAGTTTTTACCCCAAGCTTCCATAAGTGGGTCAAAAATGACCCGCATGCATTTTCTATGGAATTTCGTTTTTTTTTCTAAAATTATAAATAGTGAACAATTAAATATAAAATATGTGTGAACCAAAATATAATACTAAATATTATACAAGTGATTTTTCTTAACCAAAATTACAGAAATGGCATAAAAACACATATTATCACCGTCGATCATCACATTTTAAAGCAGAGGCTAGCCAGTATAGGCATGTCCAGCCATGCAGTGGGGTGGTTTGTGAACTACCTCTCTGAAAGGTCCCAATGTGTTCATTTTGATGGGCTGTCTTCTGAGTGGTTAAACATTGCAAATGGTGTACCCCAAGGTTCTGTTTTAGGTCCACTTTTATTCTCTATCTACATCAACAGTTTAGGTGAAAATGTGGATGAAGCTACTTTACATTTTTATGCGGACGATACCGTGATGTATTGTGCAGGTCCCTCCATTAAGGAGGCTGGTGTTAAATTACAGGCTGTTTTTAACATTATTCAGACTCAGCTCTCTGAGCTTAAGCTTCTTTTAAATGTTGAGAAAACCAAGGTAATGCTCTTTTCTAAAGCTAAAAAGACACCAGATCCTGTTTTAGATATTGTAACTACGCAAGGAATAAAACTTGAAGTGGTTACCTGTTACAAATACCTTGGTATCTGGCTTGATGATTGTCTCACTTTTAAACTTCATGTCAATAACCTGCTTAAAAAGCTGAGGGTTAGGCTAGGTTTCTTCTACAGGAACAAGTCCTGTTTCTCGCTTGAGGCCAGGAAAAGGCTAGTCATTGTGACCTTTTTACCTGTGCTGGACTATGGTGATCTGATGTATATGAATGCACCTGCTAATTGCCTGGTCAAGTTAGATGCTGCGTATCACAGTGCACTGAGATTTGTGACAAACTGTAAAGCATTAACCCATCACTGTACCCTGTATGCAAGGGCTGGTTTACTTTCACTAACTGTACGGAGGCTCAGTCACTGGTACATCTTTATATACAAAGCCATGTTAGGGAAACTCCCATCCTACATCTGCTCCCTGATCTCACGGCGAATTGGCTACTGCCTGAGATCGCATGCTGTGGTTTTATTAAATGTGCCAACTGCTAGGACTGTCTTAGGGAAGACAGCTTTTAGATGCGCAGCTCCTCTGTCTTGGAATAGTCTGCAATTGAAATGGAAACTGAACAATCTGGTGCCACTAAATGTTTTTAAAGCTCGGTTGGATGCTACTCAATCGGAAGCTATTGGTACCTGTTTATGTGGATAATTATGTAAATGACATGTCACTTGTTAGACGCTTTTATCCAAAGCGACTTACATACTCAATACTGTGGGCAATCCCCACAGGAGCAATTTGGGGTGAAGTGTCTTGCCCAGGGACACAACGACATGCTGACTGCAGTGGGGTTTGAACCTGTGACCTCCTGATCCGAATACCAACTCACAACCCACTGCACCACAGGCCTCCCTAAATGATGCTGTATGATGTCCTTTTGTTGTTCTATTTATGTTTTTATGTTTCATGTGGAACTACTTGAGCAGGTCTGCCTTGAAAAAGAGATCAATGATCTCAATGGGATTTATCTGTATAAATAAAGGTTTGAAATGAAATGAAATGAATTATTCTAATACGGGTCCTTTTTGACCCACTTATGGAAGAGTGAGGGTCCAGTCACTCTTGCATCTAAGGGTTAATAAATCATGGATGTAAGTTCTCACCGTCCTTTATGCTGGTGTAGGTGACCTTGAATCCACTGATGGGACTCTTGGGTTTGGTCCAGGACACCGTCAGAGAGTTATCTGTCACCTCACTGAAGACGAGGTCTTTCGGAGGCTCCGGGCCTGAACGGTGTCAAAAAAAACCATGAGAGAGGTGGAGGAAAGCTAGGGAAGGGAAAGATTGAAGTGAAGCAGAGGAAAAAGTAAAAGAACAAAGTGACAAAATAGGATAAAAAGAAGGTAAAAGAAAAGCAAAGTAGTGAAGAAGGTAAAAACAATACTTTGGACAGATAGTGACAGACATGATGACAAAAGACAGTGTGTACAGTATTATTTCTCATCCACCCATTTGCTATTAGTGCTGATGAGTTCATGTGTATATATGTACAGTGCAAACATATATACAGTATACAGATCATATACCGACAAACAGTCATTAATAATACAAATGCAGGGGATGGATCCTGGACAGCAGCGAAGGAAAGAGTGATATAAATAGTTAGCTGGCCGCTCAAACCTGAAAATAAAAGCGTTGTACTGTAGGAGTGAAGGATGTCAAAACAAAGGAAGTAAAGCTGTATAGGATGAATGAAAACAATACATTTAGATATTAATTCGACACAGTGAGAAGATTTAAACGTGTTTGGGACGGATTCTCAACCTCACAAGAGCGTGAAGGATTTTTTCAGGTAGAAACTCTGAAAAACCGAACACAGTTTTGCATGCGTCCTAGAATCCCTTCATTTATTGTGCAACCTTTACACATTTGTATTACAAAGACATTCTAAACTCGTCTTCATAATACCATCTGATCAGGTAAAGGTAAATGTGAATCCTACTGTCTTTCTATATCCATATTTGATTATGTTCTTTCAATTATTGTTCTTGTAGCTGATGGGATTAACACTGGGATGAAAGACAGAGCAAACGTACAGAGACCAGCCGGTCTTACCCTGGTGAGAGGTGATGGGTGTCAGTGAAGATGGCTGTTAGCTTACCCTGAATAAGAGAAAACCAGAGCAGCAGTGAATGAACTGTTATGGTGTTACTGTTCAACTCTCATTTGATGTCAACTCAGTTTAAAAAACACCTTTTGTTCTCAGTGTACTGCCATTTTTGTGTTTTTTGCCAACAATTCTTTAACTGATTTGTTGTACACTATGGGTGAGTTACAAAAAAGTAGAGTCGGTCTGAAAGTCTTCATATCATTTACTTTACCACACTGTCAAAATGTCATGTTAGAAAAAAAGTAAAAAACCTTTCAAATTAAAAAAAGATATATTTAAAAAGAAAAAGCAGCAAATATACACATTTCTAAAGCTTTTGCATGAAATGTTAAGTCAAAGATAACTGAATTTAGTAGTTTACAATTCATCTTTTCTCAAAAAAATTGAATATTTCAGCTTTACTTATTTTATATCTTATTTTCAATATGTTTCTAATTGTTAAGTATGCTCACTATCACTTAAGTAAAAATTACAATATTTTGCTCTGAACTGTAGTGGAGTAGTGGAACCGGAAGCACATCCTAAAGTAAAGTACCTAAAACTTGTAGTACAGGTTTTGTATTGCATTCCAGAACTGAGTATATTAAGGTTTTGTGAAGTTTAGACAAGCTAAAAACAGGGTCAAGTTAGCTTCTTGCTTTGATTTCTTGTAATGTAGAAGTACAACTAGTAAATTGCTTGATATTTGCATACAATCTGATCAATGTTTGGATGGAAACTAAATGTAGGATTAATTTATTTTCAGCTAAAATGTTACTAGAGATCCAGTTATAGAACCTGATCATTCCCAAGTGAGCTAAAATGAACAAATGTTTTGTAAGCTGACATTGTGACACACTGTGTCAATGCATATCTGAGGTTTGACATCAAAAGATTGAGTGTTTGTTTATGGAGTGTTGATTATTATAATGTATGCCTGCGAACTCATGAATATTTCATATATTTATGAAGCGGATGAATGTGTGCACAAACACAACATTAACACTGAACACACACAAAAACAGGTAACATGAAGACCAAACCAGTGAATATAAAGCAATATTTCACCCCCAAAACGATCATTTGGATATCAATTACTCATCGTGATACCTCTTCTTGCATTCGTTTTTACTTACATTTGTTAAGAGTTTTGGATTATTGTTAACAGTGGAGGCACGAACACAGGATAAATAATTGATATGCAAATAACCATATACAGGGGGGAAAATTCCTTTAGGAACAAATACGTGCCATGAAACCGTACAACCCAAGCTTACAGTTTTCAAGAGCACCACAGGAAATGAGCTCTTGAAATCAACATGGAGGAAGCACAACATTTCCAGTCATACTTAACACAAGGGACAATGAGTTGACAAATACATTTTTGTTTGAATCAGCCCAAGATGTTTGGCGCAGTAAAGATTTAGGATGGGTGAGCGAAGAGTCTTGAGTTTTAAGGTGAAGAAAAGAGTTTTCTGCAGAGGACTTCAACATTGACGGTAATGTTGTATTATTGTGCAGTAATAAACAAAGTTGCTCTACTCTCACAATAGCTTGTACCTGTGCTGATGACAAGCTTGTGCAGTCTGGACAGAAGGCCGGGACCCTTTCCAAGCAAGGTCACTGTGTACTCGGTCTGAGGAGGCAGATCCTCAAACTGAAAGAAGCGAGATGAACCAGGAAGAACTTTTTTGAAGGAGGTGATACTTCCTGTAACAGGCTTGGATCCTGTGCTGCTTCTGTTCTGTGGATCTAGTGTAGAATCACTTTCAGGCACTCTATTTCCATCTTTACTTCTTCCATTTTCTGATTCTGATATATTAGTTTGTTCATACTTTGCTTCTTCCTCTTTATTGTCAAACTCTTTCTCCGAGTCGTCTTCCGAATCCTTGTTAGTGCTCTTCGGCTTTGGCGCTTCATCCTTACCAACATCTTTACTTGTCACAACAAAGTTGTTGTACTTCTCTTCTGGGGAGTCCCATATGAGCGAAAATCCACTTGAAGTCTGGTTCGTCACTCCCACATAGTCCAGAGGTTCCCTCACAACTCCAGAAGAAGAACCATCTGATTCCATCGATTGTCTAGGATCAACACTTCGTGTCTGGTCAGGTTGACTGTTGAACAACATTTTCCCAGAATTATTTATTTTGTCCTTTTTCCTTATTCTTCCACTGTTGTAGTGTGTTATCGGGGTGTGATGCTGTGCTATCATTCTCCTTGTTGGTGGCTGTCCCTTTGGCAGTGCGCCTGGTTCTGGGGCTCCATGTCGTGAATCAGAGGAAGTTTGTGTGATTGTTGGTTTTCCTCCACTTGTATCGTTAATATTTATGCCAGTATTGACTCTCTCTTTATTTGCACCAGTGTCAGAATTTGAATCTGGGGGGCTTGTTTCTTCTTCCCTAAATATGGTTGTTTGGATTGGAGCATTTTCACCCCCTTTTAATTTCTTGATCTGTGTTCTGACGGTTGTGTCATGGCCATCAATGTGTGTGCCTTGATTTGACCCTTCAGTATCTTTTTCTCCTAATGGTCTAATTTGACCTCCAACAGTTACGCGTCCATTTATCTTCCTGTTTGGGAAAGGCTTAGACATGGAACCTCTATGTGGATTTTGGAGTGGTCTCAGGTTTGTGCGGTTTATGTTTTGGAAACGTCCACCATTCAGTTGTGGCTGACGTAAGTGACCAATTTTGGTGGGTTGGCGATGGGAGGAAGGCAGTCCGCTTCTTCTGAGGGTCTGATTGAACTCATGGGAAATAATTGTCAGACCTTTTTGTTCAATGTCCTCTTCAACTGGCCCTGTACCTTCAGCTGGATATGATGCTTTGGAAACAAGAGGTGATGGAGTGGCTTGGAATCTAGTGGAGGACACCTGCTCTCTCCTGGTTTCTGGTGCAGGCTTTAAAGGTCGAGAGGAGGGAGGCAGCCGCCTCGAATTTGGACGAGTCCGGTTCTGTAGAGATCCAAAGTTTGGACGTCGCATGTATCCCCCCTTTGGAGGAATACGGCGAAGTGGGATTTGTTCTCTTTCTGTTGGCACCTTTTTCTGGTTTTGTTCGTCTCCATAGGATGCATGTGTATTTGATCCATTTTTGTCTCCACTGGTATCTCTCACTGGTGCAGTTTCCTCAAATGAGGACGGTTCCCCTGAAGGAGATGAAGAGGGTGACGATGATATTTCACTTGTTGATTCATGTCTGGTTTCTGTCTCTCTCCTAGGTATGAGGTTCAAATGAGGAAGGGAACGGGGAGGAATTCTCATAATTGGGCGGGTTTTGTTCTGTAGCAATCCAAACTTTGGGTGTCGGCGACGTACGACACCTTTTCCTGAAGGTGATGGTTTTCTGTCTTCAGGGGATGTAACGTCAGCAACAATTCTTCTGTAATCAACATCTCGTTCTTTGCTTCCAACTGAACCTGTATCTGAGCTGGAAAGGGAGGACGATGAAGGAGGAAGCGATAATGATGGTTGTGATGGAGATGGTAAAGGTAAGGAAGAGGGTGAAGATGAGATTAACAATGTTAGTGATGATGATGATGGTGCTGCTGTTGAGGAAGATGGAGCTAAAGAGGATCGGGATGATGGTGATGATGGAAATGATGACGGTGCAGCTGACGACTGATCTAATGATGATGATGATGAAGATCGTGATAATGATTTAGAGGTCAAAGAATGTAACAATTGTGATGCATTTGACGATGATTGTGAGTTTGATGAATGTGATGATGACAACAATGGCTTCAGTCCACTTATAATCTGCTTCCTCACTGATTCTGCATTAGCAGAGAGGTCTGGTGATTTGGACAGGTGAACAGAAAACGTTGTGATATTCAAACTATCAAAAGTATCAGTCAGAAGTTTATTTAAAGGATCTTGTGAATAAGCAATGTTTGTCTCTGCAGACTTTCTGTCTGTTTCAAAGGAACTTTGATCTGAAACCGCTGTCTTTCCTTCCAGCATTGTTCCATCCTCTCTAAACTGGCTGCCTTTGCCCCGATGGGGTAATCTAATGTGTGTCACCTTAACTTTGTTCTGACATTTCTTCTCTTGGCTTTGAACAATCCCAGTTGGCTCTGGAGACACTAACGCAGTGTCAGTTCCTTTGCCAGCCATGCCAACATCTGGTTGCTCTTTGGAGCCGACGGCAGCAGTTGGTTCCTCGGAGCTACTTTGTCTGTTTGTATGTGAATTACTCCCAGACATCATAGCTGGATACTTGTCATCCTTCCTCTCAGTGCTTGATGCCTCTACACTCAGCTCTGCCTCTGTCCTTTCTCCTATAGTGGAGACATCTGGTTTAGGTTTTGTGGGTACTATTGGTGCTTTCATCTTCCGACCAACAAGTTTTTTTTTCAAAGGATCCTTTCTCCATCCAGGCACAAATCTGGTTGTGTTGAAACGGAAAGGGCCTGAGACATTTGGCCTTCTGTACAATAATGGTCTGGTGCCATTTATTGCCTTCTTCCTGTTGAGCAGAGGTTTAGTTCTTGCAGTCACAGAGGTTGTATGGTCGCTGTTAGGCCCGTCAAAAGCTCTGTCTATTAAAGAGTCAGCCTCACTTCCATCCTCTCTGCTCTTCTGTTGGTCAAAGGCTTTAACCTCAGGCAAAGGGTTGACCTCATGGTGACCGTCTCCAACATCTTGTCCAGGTGCTTGTGTAACTCGCATGGTCAAAGCTGCCATGGAAACCCTTGGTAATGTCTTCCCTAAAGATGTAAAGGGAGTTAGCATCTGGATTCAGTGTTAGGGACATCATATGCTGCTGTTCTTAATATTCCAGAAGTCTAATAAAGGAAGAAAAGTAGTTTTAATATGCATTACGATGATTTTATGGAAATCCTATTGCAAGTCATTTGTCAGTTATTATGCAAACATTTCAGGGCAGTGTGATCCATGTAGAACCTGCAAGGAAAACATTGAAATATGAATAATGTTAAGCTTGGACAGATGTATTCGACATGGTGCCTGTGCCACTGTAGAGAGGGAAATATCCTGGAAGAAATCAGAAAAAAAGGAGCATTTTACAGATAGTGTTCTTCTGAAACTCATTATCTTAGCGGGTGGAGAGTTGAGGCTGCACCTTGCTTCATTAACTTTTACTGTCGCTCCTCCACAGTGTGTTTTCAATGATATGTTATGTTGAATAACGAGGTGTCTGGACACATAAAGTTTAAATAAGCTGAACCAAGTCTGTTTTCACCTGTTTACATCTGGAAGAGAAACAGTTGACTTGCTCACAATGAGTTCAAGCAAGGTCGAAGTACACAGGAAAGTAGCCGGTTTTGGGGATCTTAAAAAGACATCAAGACCAAGTTTAACACTTTAAATATATGTCTGGTGTTTTTTGGCATTATTCATATTTTTCATCACATAAGAAAGCCAAAAAAAGAACATTAAACTTTAAACTTCCTGTATGTGGCTTTAGCCCTTTAGTTCCTCACGCTAATCTTTAAAAACACAAATATAGATTTTCAAAACGGCGCAATAGTTTTCTAGAAGTGCTGTTTACCATGGCTTTTCTTAAAACAATAAGAGAAAGTGTGCATTACTTTTTTGGCTATATCCAACAGTGTTATAATCCACTTTTGTTTCCCTAGTGATTACAAGGTTTCAGCGATCTGAAATATGTTATCCTTGGAGTATTAAAATAAACCTCTTTCTGGAAAGAGGACCTAATCTTATAGTCAAAGCTGTCTTAAATCAAACTTTAAACCAAAGCGTTCAGATCTATTTTTTTTTGGTACTCACCCGGGGTGACCTGAGTGGTTGCTGGTTTGCTCCGACTCGTGCCCTTCTCAGCTTCGAGTATGATGTCATACAAACGCCCCGCCTCCAGCTGCTCAATGTGGGCGGAGTCTTGACCAGGTGGGATGGTCAACTCTTCACTCCTTCCTTCTCCATCGCTGGGCGTGACGGTCAAACGGTACCTGTCAATCTCACCCTGCGAATGCTCCCATTGGACCACTGCAGTAGTGGAGGTTGTTTTGACGACTCTGAGATTAGTAGGACCGGAGATGACTGAAGATGAAGACAAATAAGAATAGAAAGACACATCTTGAGCCTCATTTCATCATATTACCTTTAAGTGAATCCATATAGAAAAGCAGGCACACACACCTGTGCACTATTTAATTTACCCAGCAGACTTGGATCAGAACATTTCCTGCTCTTAACTTTCCTAAACTAACACTAACACCTCTTGAGCTGCCACAGATGACACCTTTCCCAGGAAGGGCAGTGAGAGGGAAATGTTTAAACTCTCTCTGCCAGTTTGGCAATATGAGCCACTCATGAGACCAATCTTTTTGTAAGAATCTCTTTTTGTTTTTCTTTACCAGAAACGTTACTAAACTGTCTGGTTTTACATTTTAAAGCATCACTGTCAACTGCAATACATTCGACTTGCAGTTCCAGCATCTGCCATATTTGATGAATGTAAAATCACAACACATAATGAAACCAATTTGTTTTGTATTGATGCTAAGCCTTCATCTTGCACTGCTTATCAATATCATTTATTTAGAATAATGTCTTCTAATTTCCTTGAGATATGAAGAAGAGTATCTGCAACTGCTCTTTAAGTCATGCTACACTGCTTTAATGCTCACAATTATTTATGCAGATCAGCCAATTAAGTAAAATGACAGGATCATTTCAAGACATTATTCAATGGACTACAAGATAATGATTTTTATCAAAAAGTGTACAAACAACGTATTGCTTATTGATATGTGCAAACAGGAATTCCATTCTAAGCCCTGTTATTTGGATATCCACAGCTTTGCCATCCCTGTGTTGAAAAGTAATGGGATTTTGATATAATAAAGGACGAATAAGTGTAGAAAGCTCACGGGTCATGAACTGCGCCGTCCTTTCGGCCCCCCTCCTGCCCTCCATCTCTCCGCTTATGCTGACGGTGTACTCCTGACCGGCTGCCAGGCCCGTCTGGGTGAAGGAGGTCAGGCTGCCCCCCACCTGCACACTGATCTGCTGCTCACTCTCCTTCTGTAAGACAAAAGAAACAAAACACATGACAGTCGGTTTAAATCTGCATGGATCATCCTTTGAGGTCCACTGACTACTGGTAAGACTGATATGTGGTGGTCCAGCACAAAACAAAGCAGGATCAAATACTCGTCATTCTTTTATTCTTTCATCGAATCAGGGCAGGGATGCCTGTACAAGGCTCTGACCTCTGATGTCAGGAGCAGACATGGAGGTGACAGAGCAGATATCTGTGCTAACGTTGCTAACTCTGCCGACAGAGCTCAGATTCAATAGCTAAACGCAACCATAGATCCGGATGGATATTAGCATTAACCCACACATGAGCACAGTGCAGAGGGGTGGCAATAAACTAGCCAGTTTGGCTACCAAAATAAAACAGAGAGAAGCTTGGATTACACCACACACAGTGTCAGATACTCTACTCTTTTTTTAAATAGCAAATGGATGATCGCAGCAATATAACTGTTCTTTATGTCACATATAGAACCTTATATATATATCTCCTCAGGGATTCTGAGAGTAGGTCACATCGTTAGCATAGCAAATGATCGAGTTTTAACAGTGAATCTGAGTTTTTAAGTCCTCCGCAAGTGTTAAGTGAACAATTTCTTGTTTCCTCTGTCACTGATGGCTGGTAATTAAATCTTGGAGCAATCTCAGGCAGGGAAACACATCCTCAGTAATAACAATACAAAATCATGATGTTCTCATCTTCGTTAAGGTGCTGGAAGAGTGGAAACACTGTGCTGACCGCAGGGCGTCATGTGTGTGTGGATAGCCGTTTTGATGTGTTTTTACTTGCGTGAGTTTCCAAAATCTGAATTCACTGGAGCAGATCTGAAACAATCCTGAGGGAAACAAACTTGAAAGTGTTCTTACTGTTGCTTATCGTATTTGATTGAATGTTGACATTATTCAGTGACTGCTGCACCCTGATTGGACCATGAAGCCAATATAAGATCTGATTTTCTAAAAATAAACCGTTGAAATGCAGCAGAAAGATGTTCTGTGTTTTGATTTACAGTTAAGAGACTCCTCTGTACAACATGGAAAGAAAATGCAAAGGATTGTTCAAATAAATGAAAGTAAATGAATTAATTTAAGGATCTATTTTTATTTTTTATTACAGAATGATGGCCAGTACACTGCAAAAACGGCCTTTCCAAAAACAAGCAAAACAATCTGCCAATGGGGGGAGCCACATTTGCTTGGCTAGAATTCTTAAAACTAGAATTAAAATCTAGCTACTGAAAGACCGTAATGGTCCTTGAAACTAGACAAAAAAATGTAAGCACATTTTGATTATTACAAGCAATGATTCCTGCATTATTTAAGAAAAAATAAATTCAAATGTAGTGTTTTGGTTGAGTTGACTAAGAATGTATTTCTTAAATTAAGTTTAAAAATCAGCAAATAAAGCTTACAATAACAATTACATTCTTGAATTGGCATAATATATTACATTAAATGACATGTCACTTGTTAGACGCTTTTATCCAAAGCGACTTCCATACTCAATACTGTGGGCAATCCCCACAGGAGCAATTTGGGGTGAAGTGTCTCAGGGACACAACGACATGCTGACTGCAGTGGGGTTTGAACCAACGCCCTACTCCACTGCGCCACATACCTCTATATAATTGCATTTGTCTTCAATTAAGACAGCAGAAACATTCTTATATTAGACTTTTTTTTATTCAAACATGAACACATTTAACAACATTGCGTGGTCATTTTAAACTGTTTTCAATTTTGATCAATGAGTGCCGTGCAATACTTCTACTTGTATTTTTGGTATGTGTGTGTTGTACCACACCGCAGTTGTCTCAATGGCAATGTGAGAAGTGAATAGACAGCTCTCGACAATGAATACATATATATGAAATGTAAAATTGGTGTCATTTCATCAGATTCTTAAATTGAGAAGTTGCTTGATGGTTTATTTCTTAAAATAAGAAAAAATAAATCTGTTTCATGCAAACCAATGCTGTAACTTGTTAATGGTCTAGCTCAATATAAGACAGCATTTTTTTTTTTATAAGAAAAAGTAAGATGTATTTTCTCAAAGTAAGAATACTTCCATCCATCCATCTTCTCCCGCTTATCCGTGGTCGGGTCGCGGGGGTAGCAGTTCCAGCAGAGAGCCACAAACTTTCTTTTCCCTGGCGACATCAACCAGCTCTGACTGGGGGATCCCAAGGTGCTCCCAGGCCAGCGAAGAGATATAATCCCTCCACCTGGTCCTAGGTCTACCCCTTGGTCTCTTCCCAGCTGGACGTGCCTGGAACACCTCCCTAGGGAGGCGCCCAGGTGGCATCCTAACTAGGTGCCCGAACCACCTCAACTGGCTCCTTTCGGCGCGAAGGAGGAGCGGCTCAACTCCGAGTCCCTCCCTGATGACCGAACTTCTCACCTTATCCCTAAGGGAGACATCAGCCACCCTGCGGAGAAAACCCATCTCGGCCGCTTGTATCCGCGATCTCGTTCTTTCGGTCATGACCCATCCTTCATGACCATAGGTGAGGGTAGGAACGAAAATGGCCCGGTAGACAGAGAGCTTTGCCTTCTGGCTCAGCTCCCTTTTCGTCACAACGGTGCGGTAAAGCGACTGCAGTACCGCTCCCGCTGCTCCGATTCTCCGGCCCATCTCACGCTCCATTGTTCCCTCACTCGAGAACAAGACCCTGAGATACTTGAACTCCTTCACTTGGGGTAAGGACTCATTCCCTACTTGGAGTGGACAGTCCATCGGTTTCCTGCTGAGAACCATGGCCTCAGATTTGGAGGTGCTGATCCTCATCCCAGCCGCTTCACACTCGGTTGCGAACCGATCCAGTGAGTGCTGAAGGTCGCAGACCGATGAAGCCATTAGAACCACATCATCTGCAAAAAGCAGTGGTGCAATCCTTAGTCCACCGAACTGCAGACCCCCTCCCCCATGACTACGCCTCGAAATCCGATCCATGTATATTACAAACAGGATTGGTGACAAAGCGCAGCCCTGGCGGAGGCCAACCCTCACCGGAAATGGGTCCGACTTACTGCCGAGGACCCGGACACAGCTCTCGCTTTGGGAGTACAGAGATTGGATGGCCCTGAGTAGAGACCCCCTCACCCCATACTCCCGCAGCACCTCCCACAGTAACTCCCTGGGAACTCGGTCATACGCCTTCTCCAAGTCTACAAAACACATGTAGACCGGATAAGCGTACTCCCAGGCCCCCTCCAGGATCCTTGCGAGAGTAAAAAGCTGATCCGTCGTTCCACGACCAGGACGGAATCCGCATTGTTCCTCCTCAATCTGAGGTTCGACAATCGGCCTGACCCTCCTTTCGAGTACCTTAGAGTAAAGTTTCCCGGGGAGGCTGAGTAGTGTGATGCCTCTGTAATTGGCACACACCCTCTGATCCCCCTTTTTAAAAAGGGGAACCACCACCCCGGTCTGCCACTCCTTCGGTACTGTTTCCGACTTCCACGCAACGTTGATGAGACGTGTCAACCATGACAGTCCCTCAACACCCAGAGCCTTCAGCATTTCCGGGCGGATCTCATCCACCCCCGGGGCTTTGCCACTGTGGAGTTGTTTGACGACCTCAGTGACCTCCCCCCGGGAGATTGGTGTTGATCCCCCGTCATACTCCAGCTCTGCCTCTAACATAGAGGGCGGAGTTGTCGGGTTCAGGAGTTCCTCAAAGTGTTCCTTCCAACGCCCTAACACTCCATCAGTTGAGGTCAACAACGTCCCATCCTTACTGTAACCAGCTTGGATGGTTCCCTGCTTCCCCCTCCTGAGGTGTCGGACAGTTTTCCAGAACAACTTTGGTGCCGCCCGAAAGTCCTTCTCCATGTCTTCTCCGAACTTCTCCCACACCCGCTGCTTTGCCTCGGCCACGGATGAGGCTGCTGCCCTTTGGGCCTGTCGGTACCTTGCAACTGCCTCGGGAGTCCCCCGGGATAACAAATCCCTGAAGGCCTCCTTCTTCAGTCGGACGGCTTCCCTGACCACCGGTGTCCACCAGGAGGTTCAAGGGTTACCGCCCCTTGAGGCACCTAGGACCTTGAGACCACAGCTCCCCGCCGCGGCTTCGGCAATAGAGGCTTTGAACACCGACCACTCTGGTTCAATGTCCCCAACCTCCACAGGAATGCCCGAAAAGCTCCGCCGGAGGTGTGAGTTGAAGGCCTCCTGAACTTGGGCCTCCTCCAGACGTTCCCAGTTCACCCAAACTACACGTTAGGGCTTACCAGGTCTATCCAGAGGCTTCCCCCGCCACTCGACCCAACTCACCACTTTTCTTAAGCAAAACATTCTTAACAAGATAATTTGACTTTTTAGACGAAAACAAGTTTTTTTTCTTTCTTAAAATTCATTTTTTGCAGTGTAGCAGCTGACTCCAGCTATTTCATTGAGCTTGTTTGTAGAATGTTTTTTTTACTTGTCGTTACACTTTCTTCGTGCAGATTACAACAAAAATATCCATGTAATGAATTGACTTTTCGAAGAATTGGTTGATTGACTTCTATTTCGCTTAGAGCAGGGCTAGCAGTTTTGTCCTGTTAAATAAGTATTTTTCAAAAATGCCAAGGGGAGATTATTATGCAAATATATATTATTATTATTCAAAGACTTTCAAACATATTAGTTCTTAAAAATCTGATTAGAAAACTAAATACATGAAAGAGACATTTTAAATAATGCTTGCCAGTCTGTCATTACAGACTCTATCGTGACTGTGTTCGGTGTTTTCATTTATTTCCAATTTGTCATTCCCGTTCATGCTGCACAACGTTCTTTTTATTATTCCCTTTATTTGTTTGAACACCGGAAACTTCCCATCATTTAAAAGCTTACTCACCAGTTTCTAAACTGTGAGGACGGCGCTGGTGTTTTTTAATGAATGGATACCGTGTTGTACAGTAAACGCACCACAGCTGGTTGCTATGGAGCCTCAGAGGTCGTGCCGGATCAGCTTTCATCCCTGTCCATATGAATGAAT